TGGGGGGATCCTCGCGCTTACCAATACGTGTACCCCTTGAACTTTTACACGGGAGAAACGCGAATTTTTCAGCATCTAGGAAGCTCGATCTCTGTCGCAGCGTGTTCCGGCTTGTTGCGTTTCCCCTTAGGGGCCAATGCTCTCCACCCCACGGCCGGCGGTGCTCGTTTGGACCCCCTCCTGAGTTTACTATTGATCTGTAGGATGGGCTTCCGGTGTCGTGTGTAGAGTTTTGTATTTGGACGTCTGAAGGTTTTGCTGGGGGACGATGCTTGGTCATGAGTCATGGCGGCTGTAAAAGGCCCTTGGAAGTTCCTCATTGTGGAGCTTCTCCTCTGTACTGCGTATGTTTCCCCTATCTCACTCTCGGTTGCAACTCGAGGGACCGCAATTGCTTCCCAGGGCGCTGGAACTGGCCGTAACGCCTTCATCAAAACCTTAGGGGTCCCCTGTGGCCTCTCCTGTGTAAAAACGGGAGAGACCTTCCAGCCCGGCGCATTATGTGGGGCTGGACTGCGACACTGTGGGGAGGTGAAGCGATCGACGACTGCTAGAAACCTCTCCCAGCGTCACGCTGGCTGGAGCGCTCGACGGGCATCACCTCATGTAGCAGCTGCTGCAGGGGGGGAGTCCGCAGAAGAGGTCCCATGGGGGAGGTGGGGAGGGTTTCATGGCAATGATCTGCCAGTCAGCTGTGTGCACAGCGGGAATTGGGCGCGCGAGGAGCCACGCGCTGCTTTTAGCGGCTTTTCTTCTCCCAGATATATTCCCAGGGGCCACAGGGGTCCGGTGAACAGCCCAGGCATCAGTCTGTACCCCACTCAAGAGCGCGGAGGCTTCGGCGGTTCTTTGTCTCCATTTCTTCGCCCCCCTTCCTTTGCAAGGAGACTTTACAATGCGCAGGATGGGTATCTACCGCCCCCAGAGGCGCAGCAGTTCCCCCGAGACATTCGGGCGTTTCAAGAGGCGATGAACCAGCTCGACAGCAAGTTTCTGCAATTCGCGAAGGAAACGTAAGTCCAAAGCTGCTGTCTTTGAGCTTAGTTTGGGCCGCGATGTCATGCCTACCATAAGATAGCAGGAGCACTACGGAGCACAGCATGATTGTGCACTTCATGCGCAGCAATCCCAGTGGTGCCTGAGAGGTTTGTTCACTTAGGGACTTCTGCCCTGCGCTGCGCGTGTGTTTTGCAGTGCGTCTCCAACGGCAAAGTAAGCCCTCGAATTGACAAGAAATGGGCCGCGGAATTCACACAGCGGAGCAGTCCTGCAATAGCGCCCCCCGCCACCTCTACGTGGCCGCAGGAGGCATTTGCGCTGCAGTTTCAGTGCACATGTGAACTTAAAAGAACCCAGCGGGTAAATGTTGTTGCA